TTCTCCACTGTATAAAGACCTCTATCTTGGCAATATTTCGGAGTGGCTTTGAGCAATAGGTACACTTACCACTTACCAGCTATTTCACCCCAAATATGAGTTTCTGTTTTTTTGAGTCCCAGCTCCCCCATATATAATAATGCCTACCTGAGAGTTATAATATTTGTAAAACGCCTAGATTAATACCTGGAAAATTATGAGTGCATAAACAACAACAACAGTAACGATATATAAAATTACATATATAATGCTACTATATCATATGATATAGATAATAATATGATGCTGTCTGGCACTCTCTCTCCCCTCTTGATTGCCACAGTCTTCTTTTCCCGTATGTTCACACACACAACTGATTCATCTTCACCTCTCGCTGGCCTATAAATTGTTTGGTTTGTTAAGATATAGAAGTTTTTTGCTTTGATCTATTATATATCATGCATGGTAGGCAGAGTAATGGCTCCCAAAGATGTCTGTGCCCTAATTCCCCCAAACCATGATTGTGTTACCTTATGTGGCAAGGAGGAATTAAAGTTGCAGACAGAATAAAGATTGCAAACCTACTAATTCTAAAATAGACAAATTATCCTGGATTATCTGGGAGGGGCCCAGTGTGACTACAAGAGTCCTTATAAGTGGAAGAGGAGGCAGATGAGAAAGCCAAAGTGATATGATGGTTGAAGGACTCAGTCTTCCATGCTGTCCTTTGATGGAGGAAGACGCCTCCAGCCCAGGAATGCAGGTAACTTCTAGGAGCTGGGAAAGGCAAGGGGACACCTTCTCCCCTGGAGCCTCCGGAAGGAATGCAGCCCTGCTGAGACCTTGATTTTAGCCCTCTGAGACTTTGCTGGATGTTTGACTTAAAAAAATCGTAAGATAAGAAATTTGTGTTTTATTATGCCACCAAATTTGCAGAAATTTGTTATAGTATCAATAAGCAGCTAATACATGTACTGATATTAGAGTGTAGTGTAGACGTATTTTTATTTTTATCATTTCCAAATTCCTAGTGGGACACTGCTCTGTGATAACCACATTCCACCAACTTGGGGACCACTTGTCCTCAACAGTGCTGGAGCAGGTGCTCTGAAAAACTTACCACGCGGAGGGCCCCTTTTTGTTACCCCTGTTGTCAGGGAGGGGAGCAGATGACAAGGGAGGAGGACACTTCAAATGTCACACATAAGGCTAATTGCAATATGCAATGGTAACAATTCATTCTGTTTGAGCCTGTTGATTACCTGAGTCTTATATCTGAAAATTAGCTATGGCTGACATAACCTTAACTCAGCATAGGGCAATCGCTCATTGATTTATGATGCCATGATCATAACACAGGAGTAGCTGCCATCGTCAACTGTTCATTTGGCCTTTTGTGTCTATAATAGGAAGTGTCAATTAGTTTTATGCAGCAGGAAAAATAGCTCAGTCTTGAAATGATCCGGACAGAAACGTTAAATGCTTGTCTTATATATATTCAGCCCACGTCATCCATCTGGGCTCATTAAATCATTTAATTGCTCAAAAGTACCAAATTACTTCTTTTTTTTTCCTAACAAATTACATTTTTAAATTTGCTTGTTTGTTTCACATCTGGCAGTTGAGGCAAAAACCAAAACTTGTGTTCAGAGTCTGAGAAATCATCTTACTCTTTGCCTTTTTTTCCCCCTTGGGGAATTGAGAGGAGACAGGTGTTTGGAAAGGAGGTGAAGGATGGCAGGAAGCCACGGGGAAGACCTGGGCTGGTCTTGGTGGTTGCACACGAGTGTCGAGTGTTAGAGGCCTGAGAATGATGCAGTCTGTGTCCACTGTGTACACTGAGATTACACAGGCCATTACTCCATCTTGGAGGCCTCCCAGTGGCCATCTGTCCTCCTGCAGGGAATGGCCTTGCAGGCAGCTGTTTGCAGTAACTGGGCTGGGAGGAGGGAGGGACTTAACACTCTCCTTCCTCTCCTCCTCTTCCTGTGTTTGGCTCCCAGGGACATCAGTGGAAACTGGTCCAACCATCCTGCACCTGCAGCCATTCCAAGGTACTTAAAGTGCCTGGCTGGACCTGCTCCCTCAGCAGTAGGAACTCTGCACACCTGCCAAGTTAGCCCCCGGAGCCACCTTCCTCTCTGCCCCCCACCTCACCTTCCCGGAACAAGATGGGGCTGTGTGTCCTGGGGACTGTGAACTCCCCAAGGCTGGGCCAGGGTCTTTTCTACCTGTGCATCATCCCCGAGCTGTAGCGCCAACTCCATTTGCCCCAAACCATGGCTTCTCTGTTCCAACCCAGATGGGCCAGAGCCCAAGGCCCTGCGAGTGGGTGGGCTGAGGACAAATGGAGTCTCCTCAGTGTTTTTACTCAGCACTTTCTCAGACATCAGTGTGTAAACATTCGCTCCTAGAATTTGTTGAAAATCCACATTCCCTGGCCCCATTCCCCCAGCATCTTAGCAAGTAGGTCCAGAATGGAGCCCGGGAACCTGAGCCAAGGTCCTGAAGTCTATGGACCACACTTTGAGAAGTGCTGACTTGGGATATCTTTTCTTTTATAATGAATGTCCTAGTTTCATAGAGACCAGAATAAACCAGGTGAAGGGCTCCACATAGAGAACCCCTTGAGGACCCTTAGGACAGCCTGCCACCAGGACACCTGGATGATTTTCTTCAGGGCCATTTGTGTGGCTGTGGCCCATGTGGGGAGGCAGGGACAAGGGGACAAGCTTTCACAGTGGGCCAGCAGCCCAGGGAAGACGGAGGGTAGAGGAGCCTCCCACCTTTCCCCACCCAGCTAGTGGGCAGGACCATGGCCCAGACACTGCGAGGGAGGAGGGGACAGCATAGCAGTGTCTCCTCAGGGTGCTCCTCCTATTCAGGTCAGACCCTGGGCCTCTGAAACACCACTGCCATGCAAATTGTCAGGATCCTTCACTGCCTCAAGGGTTTCTGCAGCCCTCTTCAAGAGAAGGGAAAGACAGGATGGCCCAGAGTGAGGAGATGTTAGGAGGTGCGGTAGACAACTGTGGGGAGGACACATCATTTGTGTGACTCTACTCGGTGATGCTCCTTGAGTTTGCAAGACTCAGGAAGAGGTTCCTGTGCCCTGTGGGTTGGGCAGGTCCCCCGGTGCAGGAGCTGCAGCCACAGGCCTGAGAGCAGGGACAGCCGCGGGGCAGGGGCTGTCCGTCTGGGGCAGACCTCAGCCCCTAAGCAGAGTTGCCGTGGGACAGACCGTAGTTCCATGACCTGTTCTCCTCACCCAGTCCTCTGCACACACTTCAGCTCCTGTTACCTGCCAGTTCCCGCAGGAGGGGCATCAGCCAGCTTGATGGCCAAAGAGCAAGATGCCTGATGGCCTGGGGATTGGGTCATCTGTGCGCATGAGACTAGTGGGGGAGGAGTTATTTGTTGGGAAGCTAATAAGGAGCTGCAGGTTCTGCTGAGCCCACTGCCCATCCTGTCCCTCCACCAGCAGCAGAAGCTTCTGGCCCCCAGCTGACACTCATCCAGCTTCTGCCATCTCTGCTCCTCCAACTTGCCCCCAGCAGCCCCACCCTTCAGCCCATTAGTCCACGTCCCCCTTCCGGGCCTCCAGCCTCCCTTCCAGCGTGTACTAATAATGCAATGACTGGACAACTCCGTACTGACAGCTGCTGTGTGCCTGTTCTAGGTGCTGGGTACACAGCAGGGAGCAAGGGGCCACAGTTCCTGCCATCCATCATGGGGCTGGCATGCCACTTACCGGTGGGGGACCTACAAGTAAGATAAATAGGTCATGGCAGGGCCTGCGGAAGGTGGGGAGTGCTCTGGGGACAGACAGGGAAGAGCGGACTGGATGTGGCTGTGACAGGGAACAGCATTCTGGGCAGAAGGGGCAGCCTATGCGGGAGCCCTGAGGTGGGTGCCTTGTGCTGCAGCTAGGGGAGGTTGAGGCGAGCAGACGTGCGAAGGGTGGTGGGAACACAGAAGCCTTTTCCCAACTTTGGCTTCCACTCAGAAAGGGGAAATGACTACAGTCATCTGAACAGAGGAGGGCCATGATCCACCTAAGGCTGTCACTTGTGTGGCTGCTGAGTGGGGAGCAGGCTGAAGTAGAGTGAGGACAAAGCAGGGAGCCCAAAGTGGGGCCAGTGCAGTAACCTGGAGGGACCTGCAGGAGCAGCTGGGGCGAGGTTGCCAGGAGAAGGTGGCCTGGAGCAGCGAGATGCGTGCTCTCCTGGGCAGCCCAGGCACCGCCCTCGGGACATTGCCTCAGTCAGGGAACAATTATTGAGCACCTCGGCCCAGCCAGGCCCACCCACCTGGCCCTCCTCAGCCTACCTGCGTCTGTAGCAATTTTCAGCTGCACCCTGCCTGCCACCAAACCCACCCACATTTCGTACTTGGACCTTGCCCTAGAGCCCCCAACTCCCATGCCCTGCAGGGTGGGCAGACCCCTCTCAGCACTTCCTGCACAATCATCACCAGCTGTATAGGTGGGGGTGCAGGGCCCAGTCAGATGTCAGCGTGCACATGCCCCCATAAGACCCCTGAGGGACCAGGGAAGGCACAGTTGTCTGGTGTGGTGGGGATGGGGCAGTTCCTGTCAGGCTGGGGGCAGTGACAGATACAGGCACAAGGGCACATGCTGGTTTGCCCTTGGTGGTGGTTTAGAAGCGCGCTGGTCCTCAGAGTGAGCACAGCTTCTGTTTAGCCTTACTATTTCTCTGAGACTTAACGAACAAGTGTGGGGTGTGGGGGGGGGGTGTCACACCTGCCCTATGCTGACCCTAACTAGGGCTCTTGGCAAGATGCTGGAGAGGGTCAGCCCCTGTCTCAGATTCAGGGAGCTATCAGGGGGGCAGCTCTTAAGGACAGTACCTGATGCCCACCCACCCCCCTGGAGATGCAGAGGTCCCTGGGGTCTGTGCTTGGTCTGGTCAGAGCTCAGGCCCACTGCTGCCCTCCAGGTGCCTGGAAGGACATGTCACCACTTGGATTATATGTCATGTTGGTCTGAAAACAGGAACTCTACAGAGGCCTTGGAGGCCTCATGGAGGGGCCCAGGTTTTGCAGGAATGAGATGTGTGAGAAATGGAGCCTCATTTATGATGTGACCTCAGCCATTTCAGGTGCTAAGTCCACAATTATTTTTGGAGCACATTTAAAAAGAATGACCATTTTACCAACACAGTGTTCAAAGCATCTTCACACCTCATGTGGGGCAACTGCCTGAGTGGTGTCCTTTTCCACCTGCTCTTCAGACAGAGAAACTGACCCTCAGGAGGTGAGGACACATGGCCCATGGTCCTGTGCCAGGATGGGACAGAACTGAGGACACAGCCGAGTGTCCTGCCCTTACCAAATGCCTGCCCCGGGGCTGAAGTGCCTGTCCCTCTTCTCTGTCCCACCCCTGGGGAGGCCACAGTCTGAGGTGGGCTGAAGGGGGAATGTGACATGCAGGGGCTGCATCTCGGGTGGGAACATTCCAGCTGCATAGACACTACAGGGAAAAATTACTTTAAATTTTTTAATAAAAATGAAAAAAGATTTGGAAAAATTAAAATAAAAATAGAACTATTTTTAAAGTGGGAGAAGGAGGCCCAAATTACAACAATTTACACCAGAGGGGAAAAAGGAAAAGAAAAGCGAGACCTTGCCAGCAGCTCCTGGGCCGTCCTCCAGTCAGGCTTCTTCACTGTGGTGTCTGTTTCCCCCGCAGGTACCGTGTGGTGGTCTCGTACCCACCCCAGAGTGAGGCAGAGATCGAGCTGAAGGAAGGTGACATTGTCTTTGTGCACAAGAAGCGTGAGGACGGCTGGTACAAGGGGACCCTCCAGAGGAATGGCCGCACTGGCCTCTTCCCGGGCAGCTTCGTCGAGAGCTTCTGAGGACATGCTCTCCACACCATGCTCAGCAGGGAGGAAGGCCTCCCGGGAAGCCCCAAGGCACAAGGGGACAGCCACAACACCTGAGGGTCCCACGTCCCTTCCAAGGCCCCTGGCAGGAGATACCATAGCCTGGGATGGGGGCCCAGGGGTGTGGAGGTCGTGCCTTCGCCCACAACCCCTAACCAAGAGCACACCCTGGGGTTCTCCAACAAGATGCCTACTCCCCCTGTGTGAACTGTAAAGAGACATCTTTAAAACAAGAGAGGAAGATGCTGATGGGGGTTGTTTGCTGCTGTGACTTGCTGCCGAGCTGCAGCACTCTTGTCTGCCGCCTGGGCAAGGCTGGAAGTTGCAGAAGAGCTGCGGGAGCTTGGGTGGGTGGGCATGGGGCCCAGAGCGTTTGCAGAATGTCTTTACGGGCTGTCTGGGCTGCACATGGGGGTTCAAACTGCTCCATCACCTCTCTATATACCTCAGTCACCTGCCACCTAGCCACTCAGCAAGGGTGTTCCCAGCCCAGGCCTTCACCGGGGCATGAGCATCCCCCAGCACACCCCTCGCGCAGCTCCTGTTGGGGCTCAGGCAGCCCCATTTGGCTTTGTCTCCTGCCAGTATTACAAGCAACACTTTTTGTTTGCCACCACTGTCCCTTTGCATCACTTCTTTCTTACAACATCTTTTTAATGTAAAGCTGTTAGACTTTATATATTTCTAATAGGTCATACATTGCCTATTTTTCATACATCTGGTGCTGCCTTTTTGTAATGACTTGGTTGAACTTGAAAGAAAAAATGTCTGAGGAGACATCAAACGGGCAGGATTTTTATATTTACCATATGAATTTAGGAGAACTCTGAAAAGCCCACATCCTCAGCATCACGATGTTGGCTGCAGCTCCACAGGATAAGAGGGAATCCATTTAGGGGGTTGGAGGGAGTTTGGAAAAAAAACCAGTTTCTTTAAACCCTTACCAGAGCCGTGTGCTCTGTCTAGACAGTGATAATTATTATTCAAGAACTGGAAACATTTCGAGGAAAGGTCACTATAATTGCCTTTTGGGTGGCAGTAAAAAGAACGTGAAGGTCGACCCCCACTAAGAAGGTGGAATTTCCCTTTTATTGCTTAGAGAGAATGACTACAATTAGCATCATCAAAATATGATTTCTCAGTATTGAAATGTGCAGTTTTTACCACAGTTCAGGTGTAAACCTTCACAGTTTACAAAACCTTGTGACGGTTTTGCCTTTTTTTTTTTTTAAATAAATACCTGTGCTCCTATCAGGCATTGCACACCTTGGTCTAGTGACTAGAGGTACAACGAGGATAACAGGGGACTGAGTCCTCTCTGCAGACTTGTAGGATCAGAGAAGCTGGGATGGGAGACACAGAGGAGGAAGGGGAGGCTGTGAACTTGGGGCCTTCCCCTCCGTGGGGCCCAGGAAACGTATTCATGCGCCCAACAGCCTGCTTCCCACAGGCACTGCCTGCAGGGTCCCTGTCACGAGGCAGCCTTGTTCTCAAGAGAGTCACAGCTCACGAATACATTCTTACCATGTTCAAAGTCACAATTCTTAAACCCTCACTATATATATTTTTACAAAACCACTCAGGTTTAAATTAGGCTGAATAAATTAGCCTTTGGTAACATAAGATCTCCCTGATTTTTAGGGATGCAACGAAATCCAGACACCCATTCCCTCGCTGGGCATGATGCCTTTGAAATATGAATACTTATTTTCAGAGTTCCTATTTTGGGATGTGACTTGGCTACTTGTTCCTACCAGGTGGCTACCACGCTGGTGGGATGGCGCCTAGAGAAAGGCTCATTTCCTCTCTCCAAATGACAATAGATTTAATAGACTTGAGAAATTTGTTCTGAATCAAAGAAAATAAAAATCCAGTTTAAGCATAGGAAGCCCTGTGCATGGAGTTAATGACAACCAGAGGGTATCCATTTGCAATCAGTTGCCAGATTAATTGTCTCTGATGCACAAAAATCATGTGTGTTTAAAATCATGTCATCACCAAAAACATGCATGGATTAACACACTGAGTGAGACACATGTTCTTCTCTGAAACCAGAACTAACTCAAATCCCCAGATAATAAGGGAAACTTTTTTTTTCTTTTTAAACGAAGGCAGTTACCAAGCAACAGAATAGACTAACTTGGACCTTCTTTCCTTTCAGGGCTACCGCCCACATGATGCTCATGGTAGATAGGAATTACTGAACAGCCCAGTGATGGTGGGTGAGGTGGCAGCCCACCGGGACCCAGCACCCCTCACAACAGAGCCAGGCCAAGTGTCCAGTGTTTTTGCAAGGCATCAGCTGGCCCCTCTTGTGGCAGAGTCAGGGGAAGGCATTGGTACTGCCTTGGGAAGGAAAGTGATGCCGTAGGCCTAGCCAGCCAGAAATCTCTAAGGAGGGGCTCCCAGAGCAAATGCTGGGCAACCAGAGAGCAGGGAGGTAGGTGCACAACAGGCCCCATGCTTTGGACTGAGTGTTTCCAAACGTGTTCAGTCTTCATGACCATTTAGCCCACAGACAAGAGCAGGAGCTGAATTAGGCCCCTCCTTGGGGCCTTCTTGCCTCGAAAGGCTCACTTATTCTGGTTACTAAGGTGAAACAACACCTTGTCTGAAGCCCTCACGCTCTATCCTGGCCCAGGGACTTACACACTTTGGGTGTGCAGTGGCACTTGGCAGCCAAGGTGACTTGATTTGAGGAGCACAGTAGAGTCCATAGCCACCACTGAGTGAGGTCAGTGGACACCAAGGTGACAGGGATACCTAGGCCACCAGAGGACCATGGGAGGGAAGTGGGGAGACAGAGCCAGGCAAGAGCTTCCCCGACTCCAGTGCCCCACATAAGCTGAGTGGCCTGGCTGGGGATTTCTTTGTACTTTGCACAGTTCACACACACATACACACACACACACACACACACCCCAATGTTTTTGTTATACACAAATGTCAGTGTGTGATTTTGGAAGAATTGCCAGTGATGACAAACTATGATGCCTGTGTTTCCAAGTCTTTAAATAAAAATGAACATGGAGAGATCTTGTGTCTGGGTGATGGGAGCAGTGCGGGTGTGGCAGGGGCTGAGAGGTCCTGAGCAGAAACACCCAGCTTGGTAGGAGCAGAACTGGGCAGGCACAACCCCATATCCCTGCTGGCCAGCCCACTGGCTCACATACCTCCCACCTCAGAGTGCTTCCTTGTTGGGGACACAGGGTCTGTGACAGGATGGTGGGCTGCCGAGAAGACTGGGGATGTCAGCCTACCCAGTGCGTGCCAGAGATCCAGTGGCTGGGAGGTAAGAATCAAGCCACAGGCTGGCCAGGCATGGAAGACCCCTAGCTCCCTCCAGGGGCTCGTTTGCCTGGAAGCTTGCTCGTTTGACTTTCTACAAATGACTCACCTTCCTTTCTTGTGGGAAAGCTTTTCATGTCAGTAGCTATTCAAGTTCCTGGCAACCAGGAGTGTCTGGTATTGACCTCCCAGACCGGCACACTCAGCCCTGCCCTTGTCCGTCTGGCCCTTGGGGTGCCTGAGCTGTTCTCTGGAGCACAGGGTGGAGGGTGCCTCAAATCCATCAATGGGAGGGACTTTAGGAGACTTCCAACCTCCAGGAAGGTGGGCCTCTCCCAAATCAGCCAGACAGAGGGCTGCCCTGGCAGCCTGACACATGTCAGGTGTTTCCTAAAATAAGCTTTCACTGCTTTCTTAGCCAACACACATGCTTTTATTCTTTGACCATCATATACATACTTGAGCTAGAAAGAAGCTTAGCAAAGAACCATTTTACTCTTCTGTAAAAATTAAATGAACTTATACAGGATCAGATAACATATCATGGGTTATGGGTGGGGAGGATGGTGAGTAAGGAAGCAGACCACATGCTCATCCAGCTTTCCCAACAAGCCTGGTTCCTGGCAACCAGAAGTGAAAGATGCTCTTGTCCTCATTTGCTAAATGAGCAGTCAAGGTTAGAAGAGGTTAAAGTAATTGCCCCAGATCACATAGCTCATGGAACTCAAATTAAAATCTATTTCTCCAACTCCAGAAGCTGGATGCTAAACCTAGGCCCTCTAGAAAAGTAATATGTCAAGCATGTGATCATGGGAATAGCGGGACCAAAAGACACATAACAGTGCCTTTCACAATCTGTCAGGAAAGGGTGCCTGGCAGGCCAACACAACAATTTTGACCAGCAAGGATATTCTGACCCTAGAGATGGACTGGCAACCCGTCAGGGCCTGGTACCATTTTACATTCAGACCCCATAACTCACTCCCCGTGTTCTGAATCCATGCTAACTAAACAAACAGGACTAATTTCTCTTTGCTGGTTTAACACCCACAGGAAGAACAACATGCTAGTTGGGGCAGCTCAGCAGCTTAACCTGCATACCAGAGACATTTCTCATTATCCACCAGTGAACTGGGGCTCCAGTTGGGGCCTCAGTCCCTGTGGATTTCATAAGCAGAAGTTACATCTCTGTCTCTTACTGACACCAACAGGTGGCATATTTTCACTGAGGGAACATTGGGTCTTCTTTCCCAGGGGAGACTCTCCATGGGCCAGCCCTTAAATTTCCCCACAAAGAGCCACACTGGGTTCCACTGAGCGGGCCATAAGGAGTGAAAGCAGCCAGCTCCCAGCAGAGCTGTGAAGATGACACACAATTGGCAACTAACAGGATGGGCTAATCTGGGAGTAACACCTAAACAGTCTTGTGAGGATACATGGGAGAGGGAATCAAGCAACTTTCAATTGTCCATGTTGATGGCTGCCTGTGTGGCCATTGACTCCTCTCTGAGCTAGTTCTGTGCTTTGACAGGCCACATCATGATCAACTGGCATGCTAAGGATTAAATCCCAGACACCCGAAAAAGCTGTGACAGTGTCATTGGCAAGGGCCCTTTCATCTGAAAATGTCAGAAAGCACCTGGAATAAGTAAAATGGGAAGATTCTTGACTCAAGTGATTGAAAAGCAGTCATCCAAGATATGTAGAAATAATGGGGGTGGTTCTGGTTGTTACGATGACTAGAGAAACTACCCATATTTTACTAGTGGGAACTGGGGATGTTGAACATTTTGCAATGTGTAAAGTAGTCCCACACAGTAACAAATGTCCTGTCCAAATGCCAATAGTGTGTCCATTAAGAAATTGGTTTAGGTGAATCCAGGTGCTCATATGCTGTCCTTGGGTATCTCTCTCTTTACTGTCCCCCATGTCCTTTGTCAGGCAGGCTTTCCATACATCACAGTAATATTGTCACCAGCAGGTTTAGGTTGACCAACAGCTTAGCCATCCCTACAGAAGGAGAGCACAGCACCTCTTTCTCCATGGTCCCAGGTTAAACTCCTGGGGTGGACCCCCCCCCGCCACACCAATTCAGTCTGGGCCCATGCTGACCTCCCTGACTCAGCCTTGTGGACAGGAGGCAGTAATGTGCTGACTAATGGAGCCTTAGATAAAGGCTGCCCCTAAGCTGTCACCCACCCAAACCACAGGGATTGAGGATGGAGATGAGAGGAGGCCCCATAGTCCTGGTAGCAAAACAGGAGGAATTGCGACCGGCCAGGTAAAAACAGCAGACACCTACTCCACAGCACCACCTCGCCCCACCCCTCATGGCACTGCCCCCAGACGTCCCCCAGCAAAGTCTGAGAAGATGGGTCATCAGAAGGTCAGTGCACCGTATTTATGAAAATGAGATATAAAAACTGCATCTAAAGAAAAGTCCCACAGGAAATATTGGCAGAGTTGGACATAATTATGAATGCGGAGGAAGACATGTTCTTCAATGTTCTAAAAAACAGAGCCAGATAAAAGCCAGGATACAGGAAGGAATTGTCATGGAGGACCACCCACCCACGCTCCATCAAATGCTCCGATCCTCACCCCTCCATTCATCATATAATGCGTATCAATAGGGCATTCACAAGTGCCAAGCTGGACCTAGAGACAGGGTGAGGGAGGACGGCGTTTACAATCTGGACAGGAAGGTCAGCACCGAACAAGTAACTACAAACAGGAAAAGAGCCATGCCTGAGGAAACAGGCTTTGGAAGCAAACAACAGAGGGACCCACCCACTCGAGGACAAGATCTAAGCTGCTTCTTGCCTGGAGATTCTTGGCAAAAGTGGGCAATGTCCACACAGCAGGCAAGGAGCTCACTCCTGCCCAAGAAAGGGATAGGCACATTTCTGCCAGGAGAAACCTGAGGCTATGCCCCATTTTATCAAGGTCATTTCAGGACATTTGCTCTACATCGGTGTGCCTTCTCTCCATCCCTCCCACTTCTACTCATTCATTCAACAGCTATTTCCTAAGATTCCTGGTGCTGGCACCAGAATCACAGAGATGAAGGGAGGCAAGATGACCCTGTCAGAGGTGCAGACCTCTCTGGAGCTTCTGCCTGGTGGGCCCTGGCAAGTCACTCAGAAAATACTGTATCTGGTGCTGTGGGAACAGAGGTGAACAAACCCATGGCACCTGCATTAGCTTGCTAGGGCTGCCATAATAAAGCACCACAGACTGGGTGGCACAAACAACAGTCATTTATTTCCTCACAGCTCTGGGGGCTGGAAACCTAAGGTCAAGGTGTCCCCAGAGGTGATTTCTTCTGAGGCCCTTCTCCTTGGCTGGTAGACGCTCATCTTCTGCCTGTGTCTTCACACGATCTTCCTTCAGTATGTGTCTCTGTCCAATTTTCCTCTTCTTATCAGGACACCAGTCATATTGGATTAGGGCTCACCCCAGTAACCTCATTTTAACTTAAGTACTTCTTTAAGGACCCTACCTCCAAATATAGTCATATTCTGATGTATTGGGTATTAAGACATCAACATATGAATTTGGGGGAGATACAGCTCAGCCCATAGAAATGCCTATGTTCATGGATGCTCATTGTAATGAAGACAACAAACATTACATTAAATAAAAGAACTAGACAGTAGCTGCTAGGCAAATCATTACTATAGTGCAAGACTAGGAGGGATCAGAAGGAGAATCTCATCTAGTTGTAGAGGGCAGCATGGCAGACCCTTTTTAGAGAGGGAAAGAATGTTCTGTGAGGGAACAGCATATGCAAATATCCAGAGGAGCTGGAGAGAACTTGGCTAAAACTGAGACAAGGGGAAAGGGGAGGGTAGGGGAGGAAGGCTGGAGATGAGAATGGGTAGGCAAGCAGGGGCATCCTTCTAAGCCAAAGGCAAGATGAAACCTTTAAAGAGTTTTAAGGGGGAGGGTGAAACAGCTGTATCTGTGTTTTAAAGCTCCCTCTGTTGGTGATATAGAGAATGGATCCTATGAATGTGGGAAAGCCAATGAGGACGCTACTGCAGAATTCCATGGTTTGTTGGCAAGGATGTGGAGAGGATGTGGAGAGATGTGGGCAGACCTGCAGGACCTCCCTGATAAGCCAGTGTGGAGGCCAAGGAGGAAGCTGTCCATGTGTCTGAGAGGGAGTCTTTACGAGATACGAGATTGTGGAGAAAAAGAAGAGGAGGGATGCAGGAGGCCCAGGAAGTCTCCCAAGTACGGGCTTATGGATTAGTCAGGGTTTTTCAGAGAAACGGAACCAATAGTAGATATATAGATAAATAAGTGAACATTTATTATGGGAACTGGCTCACGTGCTTATGGAGGCTGATAAGTCCTCCGACCTGCTGTGTGCAAGCTGGGAAGCCCATGGTGTAATGCAGTCTGAGTGCAAAGGCCTGAGAACCAGGACCTCTGGAGTCTGAGGACAGGAGAGGATGGATGTCCCAGCTCTGAAGAGAGAGAATCACCTGGAATGGATGACACCTGTCCCCATGGGTGAGGGCAGAGCTTCTTTACTCATTCCACTGATTCAAATGCGAATCTCTCCCGAAACACCCTCACAGACACATCCAAAATTAATGTTTTATCAGCTCTCTGGGCATCTCTTAGCCCAGTCACGTTGATACATACAATTAACCAGCACAGCCGTTATAGCCCATCAGGATCCCTTGCTTAGCAGATCCCAGGGAACCACTGGGCTGCCTGTTGCCAG